ATACCCATGCTTGAAGACCTGACCCAGCTGGGTTAGGCAGCCCTCCTTTACACTCTGTGATGTCCCTTGCACGTCCCTGTCACTGCACCGGCCACACTGTATTTTCTTTCACCTGTGTATGCCCTGCTGAATAGGAAATGCCAGCTAGACTGGGAGTCCCCTGATAGGATCAAGGAAGGTTGTAGGAAAGATAAGCATTCATCTCCTTACCTGTTGGAGTTTTTCACTACATTTTTTTGCAGGAAGGCAGGGAAATTTTTTGTTGGGGAGTATCTTTTCTGAGACATTATCTTTGCTGCTGCACCTTGTATATCCGCATATTCCATGTCCCCAACACACAGTGCCTGGCGCATTGCAGGTGTTCAGTAAGCACATGTTGAATGAGGGTGAGCAGCAGATGAGGTGGCTCCTGGAGGCTGCCTTAGGCAAAGATCTGAAATAGCTGCCTCATTTGAAGAGAAGGAAGAGCTCGAGAATAGCTGCAGTGGTAGAATGATTCCATTAGAGGCAAAAAAAAAATGGTTTAGCAATATGTAGATGATTCACACTATTTGTTTTTAGGACAAATGAAACTTGGATAGTGTTTGGTCCTAGAAAAAAGTGGACAAGTAAAATCTGAGTCATGTATTGGAGAGGGAAATGGGTCACTATTTGAGATTTCCATCTTTAGATCATGCTTTTGGCTGACTATAAATCTCCCATTTGGTCTTAGAGATTACTAAAACACTTCAGAGATCATGAGTTATAATAATCAAGCACTGAAATAAGCATTTCTCTTTTCAGACTCCCAAGAAGAGTCACCAGAAATCTCTGAGCTTTGCTCAAACTTCACCAAGAAGTTCCTCTCATACACCACAAACTCCGTCGTATATTCCAGAAAGGCCGCAGAAGTCCCCTGCAAAAAAGACCCCTACAAAGCAGGCAACTTTAAAGGAGTCCTTAAAAGATTCCTCCTCACACTTCTGTGAGTCACCATTGGATTCAAAAATCACTCCTCAAAAACGATGCACCCAGGCAGGAGAAAGCACTTTTCTTGAAACAAAGATACCAAGAACTCCTAAGAGGCAAGGTACTCAGCTGCCTCGGTTTTCACCAAATTGTACTTGGCCACATTTGGTGGATTCCAGTCCAGAAAGCCCCTCTTGTGCAGCAGCCCCAACTTCATCCATTGCCCAGCCCAGGAGAGAGTGTCTCAGTCCCTTCAGAGACCCTCTCAGAACACCCCCGAGAGCAGCAGCCTTCATTGGCACGCCTCAGAATCAAACACACCAACAGCTCCATGTCCCCAGAGCTGCTTGGGCAGAGGAACCACCCCAGAAACTGAAGAATAAAGCTATCAAAACCCCAGAAAGACCAGGGAATTCAACTATGACTTCTTCCCCACCTGTTACACCAAAGAAACTATTTACCGCTCCTTTATGTGATATTTCCAAGAAGAGTCCATTTGGGAAATCTAAAACAGAGTCTCCTTCCCCAGGAGAACTGGATGGGAAACAGCCCCCGATGTCACCCAGCGTAGCTGCATCTCTCTCCTGCCCTGTTCCCTCAACACCCCCCAGACTCTCACAGAGCACTACATTGGACACCATCCCTCCTCCGCCCCCTTGTAAAGCTGGGAAATTGTGTAGAAAGACCTCTGGTCCCAGAAGGAGCATCCTGGAGTGTCAGCCCAATGCCTCTGCTACTCCTGGGGTTGGCGCAGCTGACAGCCCAGCTGCCACCACAGACTCTAGAGATGACCAGAAGCAACTGAACCTCTCTCCTCACTCTCCTGAAAGACGGAGCTACCCAGGCCCTGGTCTCAGGAGTGACTGGCATGCATCGTCTCCTTTGCTCATTACAAGCGACACAGAGTACCTCACTCTCCTCAGTGAAGCCGAACGTCACGACAGGGGTAACTTGAAAAGTAACGTCTCATCGGTGGAAGAGGGTGAGGGGCTAAGGACAGCAGATGCTGAGGAGAAGCCTTCTCTGTCTCACCCTGGGATTCCCCCATCTCCTCCTTCCTGTGGGCCCGGCTCTCCTCTGATGCCTTCCTGCGACCTGCGCTGTACCACAGACAGGAGGCAGTGCCAGGCTTTGGCACAGCTAGACAACCTGCCGATGTCAGATTGGCATTCCACAGCCTCTGCCAGCCCACAGACCTACGAGGTTGAGCTGCAGATGCAAGCTTCTGGCCTTCCCAAACTTCGCATTAAAAAGATAGATCCCAGCTCTGTGTTAGAGGCTGAGCCCCCCAGTAAGGAGGAGAGCTCTTTGGGAGAGGAGAGTATCCTCTCTGTTCTCAGCGTGCCCAGGGTCAGCAGGTCCTCAGGCAAACCTGAACCCACCTATGTGTCACCCCCCTGCCTCCGCCTCTCCCACAGCACACCTGGCAAGAGCGGGGGGCAAACCTACATCTGCCAGGCCTGCACCCCCACCCACGGCCCTTCTAGTACCCCGTCTCCATTTCAAACAGATGGGGTTCCCTGGACACCATCCCCCAAGCACAGTGGGAAGACAACTCCAGACATAATTAAAGACTGGCCCAGGAGGAAGAGAGCGGGGGGCTGCAGCACTGGGTCCTCTTCTGGGAGGGGTGAGGTTGGAGCAGACCTTCCTGGGAGCCTGTCACTGCTGGAGCCAGAGAGCAAGGAGCACAGCCTTGAACTCAGCATGCACCAGATGCCCATTTTGGAGGATTTCGAGCTTGAGGGAGTGTGCCAGCTGCCAGACCAGTCACCTCCCAGGAATAGCGTGCCTAAGGCCGAGGAAGCCGCCTCCTGGGGACAGTTTGGGTTGAGTTCCAGAAAGAGAGTCCTGTTGGCCAAGGAAGATGATGACCATGGAGCCAAAAGGATCTGTGACCTGAGAGAAGATTCAGAAGTGAGGATGAGTAAAGAGAGGTCTCCAAGTCAGAGTGCACGGCAGCTACCCTCCACGGGAGATGACGAGGTGTTTGTTTCGGGTGAGTTTGTTTTTGAAACCCACTTGCCACAGGGTTTCTTTGGGCAGAGTATTTGGCAGGGAGGCCCTTGGGGTTGCTTCTTGGGAGGCCTGGGCTTCCTGGTTGGGGGGCTGGGGGTGCTGCTCTGACTACATGGGATCTCTTTAGGCTCCACCCCACCTCCCGGCTGTACCCTGAAGAGCTGCCTCTCTGCCAGTGCCCTCCAGACTCTGACCCAGTCTCCGCTGCTGTTCCAGGGGAAAACACCTTCCTCTCAGAGCCAAGACCCCAGAGGTAATGTTTGTTGATGGTCTAGGATCCTTTCCTGTGAGAGAGACTCCCTGAATTCATCAGGTTTGTCAGGCAGCTAGATTCTGGAGGAGCCCCGGGGGAATGCTGAGTGTGGGATAGGCGACTTTGTGCCTAGTATCATGTGCCCTTCCCAGAGAAACTCCACATTAGAACTTCTGTGCATGTGAACAGAAGCCCCTCAAAATCCTACTATAATGCTTTGGTCCTTCTGAAGATGCCGACAGTCGTAAGCTTGCTGCAACATACTGCTCATCTGCAGTGTAAGAATCTGAATAGGAAAGTGTTCCCAGTAGCATGAGTGATAGGCCTATTTATACCCTGTTCTCCACAGTGGGTTTATCCCCATGTTTTGTACATGTGGTGGGACACAGTACTGATTCTAGCCGTAATCAGCCTTCCCTTTCCAAATCCTATTCCCAAAAGAACAGGATTTGGCCTGTTAGCTGTTCCTGGTTAGCAATGTTGCTTTCTGCTGCTAGAATCGAAGGGGGAATGCAGAAGGTGGGGTCTTTCGGTGGTTCAGTTCCCTCAAGACTGTGACATAAATCATGCAAAATAGCATAACCCGCGATCTGAGACCTGGAAAAAGGTACAGGTTAACCTGAGGGAATTCAAACACAGACATTGCATTTTCACAGCCGCTGCTTACTGCCAGCACAGTGCAAGCTGTTAAGGGCAGGGGCCTTCTAAAAAGTGTAGGTGCCATTTCTGCAGGATGAGCGAACCTCCAAGGAGTGATGATTTTCTTGAAGTCTATTTTTGTGTGTACCCTCTGCGATTTAAGCCCATTTTTTTGTTTGTTCGGTCATCAGTGATTCCTGCATGCTAAGCCTTTCTGCCTTCTTCTAGATGAGGATGTAGATGTATTTCCCTCCACTGCCGAAGACTCTCCCTTCAGTCGTGCGTTCTCCAGAAGGCGCCCCATCAGCAGAACGTACACACGGAAGAAGCTCCTGGGACCCTGGCTGGAGGACTTATAGCCATAAACACTACTGAGCCCAAAAGGTAAAGGAGTCAGCTAGGACCCTATGGGCATAAAGAAGCTGGGGGCCTGGTCCCAAGCCTCTCTTGCCAAGGTGAGCGTTCAGACTGCCATTAGAATAGGTTTTCTAATTCTCCTCATGGATCCAGTCCATCTCCTGGCCCTAACCCTTGGTGGGGAGGTTGCAGGAGGAGGTGGATGGCAATGTAGCTGGTGCTAGAACTCAGGCAGCCTGGGAGCAGCCAGACAAGGGATCCCATTGTATGGTGCCCCACCCCAACTATGACCTTGGCAAGTCAGGAGGCCACTCTGCCTCACGCCATGGAGAAAGGAGCCCTGCCTGGGGTAAGGCCGGGCTGCAGTGGCACAGGCAGCACTTTGTAAACTGTGAAGCCACGTATGTGAAACTCGAGTGCATTGGGCAGCCGAAGCCATTTTTGCCTTCACTGTGTAACCATAAAATCACCTCTAGCGACTGAGCACTCAGTATATTTTTGTTGAATGTTGAGCCTGAGGTGACCTGTGACCATGGTCCAGCTCAAGCGGCTTCTACAGCAGCCACATTTCCAAGAGTCAGCCAGTTCATGGCACAGGCCTTGCCTTCTCCTGGGGAGAAGACCATCCCCTGGCTCACTGTTTCCACCGGGAGTGCCACTCAGACCGGTTGGACCAGCCTGCTACCAGGTCCTGGCTAACGCTGAGGGCTAACTCCGAATTGTGTCCCCAGAAAGCCTTCAAGCCTGTTGTGCTCCCAAATCTGATTCCTCTTACTGTCTCCTATTTCTCCCTTAAGAGATTTTATTAAATGTTTTTTTAAGATCCTAAAAACATGCTAAGTCTCCCAATTTCCCCTATACACATAAAACCATTTAAACCACAACCTGGTGGCCACCGACCCTTTGTAACAATTCTTGGCTGTACCCCAGGCACATCTGTTTATACCTGAAACCAGGATCATCCTGAGACTTGAGCAAGTCACAAGACAGCAATTGGGTGCCACAGTTTCAAGGAAATACACGGAAGAAATGTGCATCTTTCTGAAATGTGAGTCCAGTTCTTTCAGGCTATGGCCCAAACTTGTTAATCCTAACGAGTGTAGCGATGAGGGCCTGGATTTAGAATGTGCGGTAATAACTGTCCTTCACGGAAGCAAATCAGACAGCTGCCCCTTTCAGCAGGATCGGGGTCTGCCCCAAGGGCTACAAGGGGTTTTTCCGGACGTCAATAATTCCCGGGCTGGCTCGTCGCAGTTCCCGCCGGAGTTTGGACGAAGGCCCAAAGTTCCAGGGCAGGCCTGCTTCACCCATGGGCATCACCCGCCCCAGCAGGGGCTCAGCCGCCTCCCGCTGCCTCAGCTCCTCGGAGGACCCCTGCTCCTCGCCAGCCAGGCTCGAGCGTTTCCAGGTCAAGGGTAATGGAGCATGGATCAAGTCCCGCATCTCTTCCCGGGTACGGGGGGCCCCCTCAGTGAGGGGGGACAGCCGGAGAAGCTCGGGCGCTGGGTGCAGCTCCTCCTCATTTCCGGGAGCCTGTCTGCCCTCCGAGCCCAGGCTCCTCTTCTCCCCACCTGCATGGAGTGGAGAATAGCATGTCCTCATTGCAAGGTTCTTTGAACTGACTGCACCAGGACTACAGCATGGTGACCCCTGCGACCCACACATACACCTCCAGATGGCCTCCTGGAGCCAGAGAGTCTGAAAACAACCGCAAAAGGAGAATAGCGAGCTCCTACAGTGCCTGATTAACCAACTTTGCGATATTTGACCATTGCTCCTGCCTCAACTGATAAGCCAAACTTGTGACACCACCCCCACCCCCCAAAGCTTGCAAAAACCACCCTGAACTGTAACTTCTGTAGCTTTCCACTGCCTACCCCAAACCTATAAAACCAACTCCTATTCCACTGCCCTCTGCTGACTCTTTTCGGACTCAGCCCGCAGGCACTTGGCTGAATAAACAGCCTTGTTGCTCACACAAAGCCTGTTTAGGTGGTCTTTTCATTCAGAGCACACTTAACATTTGGTGCCGAAATCTGGGACGGGGTACTCCTTTGGGAGACCAACCCTCTGTCCCCACTCTGCCTCTATGAAGAGACCCACCTGTGACCTCAGTGCATCAGACTAGCCTGACACCCCTCTCGCCACCTTCAGATCAGGTAAGCATCTCTCCCTCTCTCCCTTTAAATCCTCCTAAATAGAGAAAAAGAAGATAACTCTCTCCCTTTCTGTTTCTTCCTTTAAATCCTTCTAACCAGAGACAAAGGAGACCCTCCTTATCTGTGCGCTCAAAAACTCAACATTGGTCATGGACTCATGAAGACAGTCTTCCCTTGGTGTCTGGTCAATCGTGGGGACGCCTGCCTTGATCACCCATGTTACAGCCCAGGACTCATGGACGCCTCACTGAAAATCCTGGTAGCTGCTCTCATTCTCCTCCTCTCTACTTCTCTCCTTAAAACTTCCTTCACTGTGGGCAATATTCCGCCCTTTATTCCTCAAAGAAACCTAAAACTTTGACTGTCGCCTGGCCTGAATACAAATTAGACAATGGTTCCAAATGGCCAGAAAATGGCACTTTGAATTTCTCTATTCTGCCAGACCTAGACAATTTTTGTCAACGAATGGGCAAATGGTCTGAGGTGCCGGATGTCCAGGCATTTTTTTACACTTCAATCCCTCCCTAATCTCTGCTCTCAATGCAACGCGTCCCAAGTTTTCCTTCTCTCCCTTCCATTCACCCTTATGTCCCCCTACCTTAACCCTAGGATGTGGGACACCACCTCCCATCCCTTGCTACAAGCCACTCATCCCTCTTCATCCCCTTAAAACCTAACCACCCTTATCCCACCTGGCGCCATTACCCCATCCCAGCACAAGCCTTAAAAGGGCTACAGCCTGTGCTACTCACTTACTACAACATGGCCTTTTAGTTCTCACCAACTCTCCCCACAACACCCCCATCCTACCTATCCAAAAACTGGACAAGTCCTACAGGTTAGTCCAGGACCTTAGCCTTATTAATCAGAGTGCTCCCCATCCATCCCATAGTGCCAAACCCCTATACTCTCGTCCTCCATATTCCCTACCACCACCCATTATTCCATCCTGGACCTCAAAGATGCCTTCTTTACTATCCGTTTGCACTCCTCTTCCCAACCCCTTTTTGCCTTTACTTGGACTGACCCTGACACCCACCAGTCCCAGCAGTTGACCAGGACCTTTCTTCCCCAAGGTTTCCAAGACAGCCCTCATTACTATAGCCAAGCCCTCACCTGCAGCTGACTTTCCTTTCACCCTTTCACTTCCTACCTCATACATCAACAATCTCCTTTGCAGCCCCTCTTATAAACCCTCTCAACAGGCCACCCTCCTACTCCTTCAACTTCTAGATTCTAAAGAATCCCAAGTATCTCCTTATAAAGCTCCAATTTCCACCCCTTCCGTGACCTATCTCAGCATAATCCTCCATTAACACACGCGCTCTTCCTGCCCATAGTGTCCGGTTAATCTCCCAAACCCCAATCCCCTCCACTCATCAACAGCTTCGTCCTTCCTAGGCATTGTAGGATGCTTTCACTTCTGGATACCAGGTTTTACCCCACAACCAAACCACTTTATAAACTGACAAAAGGAAACTAACCCCATAAACCCCAAATCCTTCCCCCATTCTTCCTTTCATTCTCTAAAGAAGGCCTTAGAAACGGCCCCTATACCAGCACTCCCCAAGTCCTCCCAACCCCTCTTCCTTCACATAGCAGAAATGAAAGGCTGTGCAGTCAGAGTTCTTACCCAAGAGCCCGGCCCATGACCACCTTGTCAAAACAACTCAACCCCACGGTCCTAGGCTGGCCATCACGCTTACACGCCGCAGCGGCTGTGGCTGTAATACTCCTAGAATCCCTTAAAATTACAGGCTTTGCCCCACTTAGCCTCTACAGTTCTCACAACCTCCAAGGTTTAGCTTCCTCTTCACACCTCACACCCTTTCAGCGCCTCACCTTCTCCAGCTTTAGGCACTGTTTATTGAAACAGTGACCACAGTAACCATTGCTCTTGGACCGGACTTCAACCCAGCCTCTCGCTTAACACCCGACACAAACCCTAATCTGCACAATTGCATCTCACTAATCCACACAGCATCCTCCCCCTTTCCCCCTATTTCCTTCTTCCCAAACCTGGACCACACATGGTTTACTGATGGCAGTTCTTCAAAGCCCAGTCGGTTGGCACCGGCCAAAGCTGGCAATGCTGTTGAATCCCACTCATCTATCATTGAGGCTGCCACACTCCCTCCCTCCACCACTTCTCGGCAAGCTGAACTAATTGCTTTAACCTGTGTTCTTACTCTTGCCAAAGGACTACATGTTAATATCTGTACTGACCCTAAATATGCCTTCCACAATCTACACCACCATGCTACCATATGGGCAGAAAGAGGTTTTGTCATCACACGGGTCTTATCAATGCCCTCTTAATAAAGGCCATCCTTAAGGCTGCTCTCCTCCCAGCCAAGGCCGGGGTTATCCACTGCAGAGGACGCCAAAACCATTCAGATCTTATTGCCCAAGGAAATGCAGAGCCTTAGCTGACAAGACAGCCAAAGCAGCAGCGGACACCCCAGTATCTCCCCCACAAGGCCAATGTTTTTCCTTCTCATCCATCTCATTCTTCCTCTGGAAACTCGCTTTACCAGTGGCTTCCTACACAAGGCAAATGGTTCTCACACCACAGGAAGTTCCTCCTCCCCGCCTCACAAGCTCACTCTATCCTCAAATCCTTTCATGACCACTTCCACATGAAATACAAGCCCTTAGCTGTCTTTTAGGACCCCTCGTTTCTTCTCCATCATGCAAATCCGTCCTGAAAACAATCACATCCCAATATTCTATGTGCCACTATACTACTCCCCAAGGCTTCCTTAAACCCCCTCCTTTTCCTACACATCCAGCCAGGGATTTACCCCCACACAAGGCTAGCAAATAGATTTTACTCATATGCCCCGTATCCACAAATACGTTCTAGTCTGGATTGACACCTTTACCGGATGGGTTGAAGCCTGTCCTACAGGGTCCGAAAAAGTTACCGCAGTTATCTCTTCTCTCCTAACTGATATAATCCCCCGATTTGGTCTTCCTACTTCTATACAATATGAGAATGGACCAGCCTTCAATAGCCAAACTACCCAAGACCTTAATTTTCCATACTCCCAAAATCGTTTGTCAACGGAAAGAAACCCTTCCCTGTCCCCCCCCTGGAACGCCTACACGACAAAAAAAAGTAATTCCATTAATCCCCTTGTAGGATTAGGAGTCTCCACTGCTGCAACTGGGATAGTTATAGCAGGCCCTACTACTTCCATCACCACATCCCGCAGTCTCTCTAATGATTTTTCCGACAGCATTTCAGACATAACTATCTGTTCTCCAAGCCCAAGTTAATTCCCTGGCTGCAGTTGTCCACAATTGCCGGGGCCTCTATTGCCTGCTGAGAAAGGAGGACTCTGCCTATTCCCAAATAAAAAATGCTGCTTTTATCTAAACTAATTTGGCCTTGTATATGACACCAACAAAAGACTTAAAAGACAGGGTCCAAAAGCTTGCTAATCAGGCAAATAATCTGGACCTAGCTGGCCACTCTCTAACTGGGTATCATAGCTCCTTCCATTAGCAGGCCCCCTTAGACCCATTTGTCTCCTATTGGGACCTTGCCTTTTCTGACTAATCTCTCAATGCCTACAAAATCATATCCAAGATATAACCAATCATTCAATACGACAAATGCTCCTTTTAACAACCCCACAACATCCACCTTTGCCCCAAAATCTCTCGACAGTATAAATCCTTTCCCATTTTTAGGTTTCCACACCGCCCCCAATCTTGCTTGAAGAAGCCCTGAGAAACATCACCCATCACCCCTCTGTATCACCCCCAAAATTTCACTGCCCTCCCAATTTTTCTAGTTTTTACTTTTCTCCTTTATATTATTAATATAAAAAAGCAGGAATGCAAGGTTCTTTGAACTGGCTGCAACATGGTCACACCATGGTGACCCGTGACCCACACTTACACCTTCAGACAGCCTCCTGGAGCCAGAAAGTCTCAGATAACAAGAAAGCACAAAAGAAGAGCCAGCTCCTGCAGTGCCTGATTAACCAACCTTATTACATTCCACCACTGCTCCTGTTTCAACTGATAAGCCAACCTTATGACACTGGACCTTGTGACACCGCCCCCCTCCCCCGTCTCCCGCCACAACACCGCCCAGCTTGCAAAAACCACCCTGAACTGTAACTTCTGCAGCTTTCCACTGCCTACCCCAAACCTATAAAACCAACTCCTATCCCACTGCCTTCCGCTGACTCTTTTCAGACTCAGCCCACTCGCACCCGGGTGAATAAACAGCCTTGTTGCTCACACAAAGCCTGTTTAAGTTCATTCAGAGCGTGCTTAACACTCAAACAGGTGGCAACGCCTTCCCAAAACCCTAGCTCCCCCATGCCCCAGCACAATAAGCAACCTGTAAATTAAGCCAATAAGGGCTGGAGAAAGAGTGGTCTCTAAGCTTTCCCCAAAGCAAAGAACGGGCCTGACTTCAGAGCACGGCAGGGCAGGAAGAGTTACCTCTGCTGTGGCCTGCAGTGTTCACACCACCGAGCTTCTGTTTCAGTTCCTGGTTTATCCACATGTAGCGGCCTAGTTCCTTCTCCAGAGCTTGAATCCGGGCCTCATACTGCCTCTTGCTGTCTGCTAACCCTTCACCAAGGTGGTCTAGAGTGGAAGGGCCAAGGAAAGGGTGGTAAGGGCCTGTGGGTGGGGCGGGGTCTGTGAGGGGGCGGAGCTGTGAGCACAGGTGGGAAGGGGGCGGGGGCTGCTTGCCTCGACTCTGCTGCAGGAGCAGCTGCAAGTTCTGCTCGTGCTCCTTCTGCTGCAGCGTCAGCTGGCGGTCCATCTCCAGGCGTTGCCGCTCCAGGGCCACCTCCAGCCAGTACACCAGCCTCTGCTGCTCCTCCAGCTGCATCTCCAGCTCAGAGAAGGCAATCTGCTGCTGGTGCTGCTCCTCTCGGAGCGTCACCACCTGTCCCAAGACCCAGCCAGGCTCAGCCCCCACCAGGAGCCCTCTTCACCCAGCTAATCCTCAACCACAGACACAGCGTTGGCACATCTGCCACCACAGCACTAAGAAATGCCCAGAGTCTCCCCTGCTGAGCCAAGACTCAGCCTCAGATACCTTTCCACAGTGTTCTAGTGATTTTCCAACAATCACAGCTGGCTCTCATGATGAAACTCTTCTCTGCCACAAGCCCTTTCCTAGCCACACACCACAGAGCCGGGGAGAGCCTCAAGCTGTGGGACTTCATCTAGGCCAACCTCAGCACTATGGACATCTGGGACCAGAGAATTCTTGGTTGTGGGGGCCTGTCCTGTGTGTTATAGGATGTTCAGTGGCATCCCGGGCCTTCATCCCCATCACTGTGACAACCAAAAGTATCTCCGGCCATGGCCAATTGTCACCCAAGGGCAAAAACATCCCCTATTGATAGCCACTGTTGTGGCCATGACCACCCTGAGGCTAGCCAATCAGAAGCAGAGGGCAGGAAACTAGGTCTTAGCTTCACACAAATAAAACAGGCTTTAAAGTCAGGTGGCTCTGGAGACAAGGTAGTCTTGATCCTGTCCCTCAGTCTGGGAGGAAATGGGGAATCCGCTGGAGCAGCTGCCATGAGACACCTCCCCTCACCAGCCGCAAGAGGCGGGGGGCAGAGGGACCATGGGGCCTCAGGAGGAGGAGGTGGGGGGCCATGGGACCTCAGGAGGAGGAGGAAGAGGCCATGGGGCCTCAGGAGGAGGAGGTGGAGGCCATGGGGCCTCAGGAGGAGGAGGTGGAGGCCATGGGGCCTCAGGAGGAGGAGGCGGGGACCCTGGGGCCGCAGGAGGAGGACGTGGGGGCCATGGGGCCTCGGGGGCCATGGTTTGATGGCCCACCTTGTCAAAATACTTGCAGAGGAGGGCTCTGGTCTCGGAGGACGAGAGGTAGCTGAGCTTGGCCATGAGGTTCATCTCGCACTGGGACAGCAAAGAGGCTGAGGCCCGAAGCACCCGCTGGCGGCATGTGATGGCCTCATTCTTGTACTCAATGGCAGCATCCAGGGCCTCGATGGCCTCATCCAACTGGAACAGCGTCCGCTCCTCCTGCAGGGACAAGGACACATGTGGAGCAACATCACCCACTGCCTGAATGCTAAAGTCCTGGGCATACACCAACAGCCAACACATAGCCACAGCTGGGCCTTAACTCTCCTCCTCCTAAGGGCAGAGCCAGCACATGGAGAGAGAAGCCCTGCTCACTGTCACAGCCCCGACCCCAGGGTGGGCTGGGGCTACTGCTCGGAGGTGGCCTGCTCAACTGCCAGCCCCCGCAAATAATCTACACTCAGGAAGCTCAGAGCACCAAACAGAAGGCGTGGTTGGGACGCCATGGAGGCACCATGGTGTCTGCTGGGTAAGCTTTTACAGATGGAGATGTGTTCTGAGAAATGCATCATTAGGCGATTTTGACGGCGTGCAAACATCAGAATGTATTCAAACCTAGATCGTATAGCCCACCACAGACCTAGGCCACAAGCCTGGACAGCATGGGACTGTCCCGAATACTTTGGGCAGTTGTAACCATGGTATTTATCTAAACATAGAAAATGCACAGTAAAAATGCGCTATGATCATCTTCTGGGAGCACTATTGTATGAGCTGTCTGTTATTCACTGAAATGTCACACAGCACATGACGAGTCACACAGGACTTCTCTACTCAGGGAACACAGATGTGGGGGCGTGAGGTGTGCTGAGCGTACTCCTGACGCTCTGTCCACACTCGGAGCTAAGGCATGTGGACAGGTGCTCAAATGCAGCACAGAACAGGAGTGCAGGCTGAGGGGTCAACATGCCCCACCCCTGTGTCCCAGCCAATGAGGCCAAAGCAGGGCAGAAGGGCCAGGCCAGCCCTCCCCAGCCCCCACCTCCACCTAACTGTGACCTTGGGTCTACAGACAGCAAGGCCCAGCACCCCCAGAGGGCTGGAGCAGGGGCTGAGGAGAGCAGACAGACAGGCGGACGATGGCACTGGGGGCCGTAGGGTACCTCGGGGGACAGCAGGCTCCCCTGCCGCAGCTTGCTGTCGATCTCCAGGCGCTGCTTGAGCAGCGAGTCCTTCTCCTGGCGCAGGCTGTCAATCTCCCCTCGGATCTGCTGCTGGCTCTGGGCGCTGCCCTGCCGCAGCTGCCCACTCTTCTCTGACAGCTCCTTCTCCAGGTGCTCCAGCCGGCTGGACACACGCACGATGTCCTCGTTGAGGGCCTGGGGGTAGCACCACCAGGGATTAGGGAAGGAACAGCTACTGTCCTCACAGGGGTGTCAGACAGCCGGCTGGACACGTGCATGATGTCCTTGTTGAGGGCCTGGGGGCAGCACCATTGGGGATTAGGGAAGGAATAGGCACTGTCCTCACAAAGGTGACAGAAAGGGCCGGCCCAGTCACTGGATGCTAAGAAGGACTCTGGCCCTTCCCTCAAGAAAACGACACTCCAGATGTTCTGCTCAGCAGAGACCAGACTCATTTCACAGAAGCTCCAGGAGGCGGGGCCGAAGGGACCAGAGCATTTGCAGAGGAGCACTCAGAGATGGCGGGAGGAGGATAAGGACAACCAGAGGGACGACACCCTCCTGGCAAAAAGGGACAAGGGGTAGGGGTGGGAGGAATGACCTGTCACTGAGATGACCGGACTGACAGTGATGGGAAATGGCCAAGCCCCAAAGGCCTTTCTGGGAGCCAGATGCGGGAGGAAGTGAGGGCTCTCCCAGCCAGAAGTTAGAGATAATCCAGTAGCATCCTGGACCCTCCTGCACACCAAAGTGATGCCTGCCAGCAGGAGCAGGGCTGGGACACTGAGTGCCTTGCCCAAGCCCCAGTACTGGAACAGGCCCCGCATCTGTGACTGCCATCCCCCACCAGCCCCCATGGCAACATTATGACCCCATCTGACAGAAGAGGACGCTATGGCTCAGAAGCTGACCTTCCTATTCAAGAGACAGTAATGATGTCAGGTGGAGACGTCTCTATTTGACCCTACCACCTTCCTATACCTGCTCCTCCTCAGTCTTCCTGCACAGGCCCTGAGTAGGTGGTTGGAGTGAAACGAACTGGAGGATGGACACTTAAGTTCTTCTATGCATGCATCTGTACCTGTGTCACAAATATCCTGACGCCCTGTGGCTCATGGGAATGCACAGGCTAGACCCCAGTAGGACAGAGTTTCCTCTGTCTGGAACTTATCTGGCAGAGACACCACCTAGAAGAACCTCTCCTGTCTAGACCTCACCTAGAGGGACATCACCTGGCAGGACTTCACCTGGAAGCTTTATCACTTGGAGGGACCTCACTTTGCTAAACCTCACCTGGCAGAAACTTACTTGGCAGGAACTCACCTGGCAAGCTCTGTCCTAGTGGACCTCACTTCACTGGACCTTACCTGGCAGGGTGTCACCTGGTTGGACCTCACCTAGCAGGGTGTCACCTGGCTGGACCTCGCCTGGCAGGGTGTCACCTGGCCGGACCTCGCTCGCCTGGCAGGGTGTCACCTGGCTGGACCTCACTGACTGGACCTCTCCTGGCTGGGCCTCTCCTGTCTGGGCCTCACCTGGCTGGACCCCTCCTGTCTGGGCCTCACCTGTGGACCTCTCCTGGCTGGACCTCTCCTGTCTGGGCCTCACCTGGCTGGACCTCTCCTGGCTGGACCTC